AAAAAAAAAAAAACAAAGCCAAAACTGCAAAAACTTCATTCCACGCTTCCATGTGTACAAACTGCGAAAATTTTTACTTATAAAAAATATTAAATACATTAACATTAAAAACGTACAAAGTATTATTTAATATATAAAAATAATATCCAGGGGATCAATGTATATATTTTCTATAAAAATATGAATTTTAACCAACATCCATATTTTCCTTCCCAATCGTATCGCGATGGTAGCGACATCTAACGTGTACACAAGCAAATTATATGCATTTACACAGGTGTGTATTACACGTGCACACATCTTGTGTTACACGAACGTGTTGCTATAGGCACGTTCGTGGTTTGTGCGCTATTTAAAATGGAGTCTCTACACGCTCGGGATCATAACATGTATTTTGAAAAATAAAAAGATCACTCGTTCCCGTTATCGACACCGATACACACACATTTTGAATCATGTGAAACGCGAAAACTGTTTGAGAAAATATTGATCGGTCCCTGAGATCAAACTCTCCTTTCTCTCTCTTTCTCTCTCTCTGTCTCTGTCTCTCTCTATCTATTGTCTGGATTTTCCTCCACGGGACTTTATTTTTACAGATCATAGAACACCTCGAATGTAGCCTTACCAGCCTTGCAGGCGGTTTAGCGATGGGATCGAGCATGAATCAATTTAACGGTTGAACACCAATTTGATAGAATCGGGCAATATTTCAGAAATTTAATGTTCCTCGGCTCAGTGAACTGGTAATGTTCGAACCTTGTTATATGGAATGAATAATGTTGTTAGGAAAAAATTATTTGACGATGTTGAAAATAGATTATGAGATTCAGGAATGTATGGAATATATTTCAACTTTGAGAATTCGAGGTAAATAATAATGAATTTATCGAATAAGTTTGCTTTTCTGTTTACGTTTTAAAGTTTATTTCTGTGTTTGAATTAAATTTTATCATATGGAAAATCATTTTTGATTAATGATCGTACAAACATATAATTAATACAAGGTTGGAACGTATCAAAAAATTTTTCTCAAATCTCTCATATTGTTCGTTATCATCAACTCGCGAGAGACTCGAACCCATCGCTACCCGCCTTCACGCAGACCTCATCAACGAATAACAATTCTTTTCATATGGCCGTTACCGCGCAATAAATAGCTGCCGCCTGTTCATTCGATGCAGCATCCGTGCAAACATTCTGGTATATATAATTTCACCAATGTGTCCCTTGACGTCGTTGCAAAAAACGAACTGGGAGGTGTTCTGTGTGCCACCAGGTTGGGAAGTTGGCAAATTATGTATTAATCATTCGATTCAATCGCTTAGAGAGTACTCCATCACACGTTAGGCCGATCCTGAATTTATTCAAGATTGCGAGTACACGTGTATTATTGCGATAACGACAACGAAATTTCTTCCATCTCATGAAATTAGAAACAATCATCATTGCTTTATCGTGACTGACGAATCATATTTCACGATTATTATTATTATTATTATTATTATTTTTTCTTTCTACTCTTTTGTTCGGTTTTCTTTTCTATTTTCATTTTACTCGGATGAAGTTTTTATATTTTATATGTCGTGTATTTATTTATAATTGATTATTAACTCAATCAGCAATCAATCATCCGAATTAATTTATTTTGGAGAGCTCGCTTTGCCTACGCACAGAATTTGTAGCAAACTTGTACACGTCACCCGTCATGCATTTTCTTGTTAATTGCACTGGTTTGGAAGTTTGAACGATCGTTTC